GTACCCCATGTGTACTTTGACTTAGCCAAAGCTTCTATTTTAATATTTGCCTAAAACTGTGTCTCTGTGACCCACAGAACAAACCCAAGGGAGACATGTGGACAGAAGGCTGTCACCCTCACCTAGTCTCATCTTTTGCCTCCCCTTTTGTATTGCTGGGTGTACCTATAATACCCAACTGCTTCATATATCCAATAAACAATGAGCAAGTATCTATCAGAGTTAACATGTGAGATAACAGTTCAAATTGCTGCATGAGAGAAAGCTCCCATCTTCGTGATGTATGGCACAGAATGATCTTTTCCTTTGTCTCTCTTGACACCATGCATTCTGCTTGACCTTCCTCCTTGATACTGTGCTCCATTCCCCAACACTTATCCCACGTATCGTCTTCTAGAAGCTGTAATCTGCCTCAATCCTCATAGAATGCCCTTTTCTCCAAAGGAAAGTGTTATGGTTTCTGTCTAGAGGTCCCCTGAAAGCCCCAGGGAATCACAGGATTTTGGCTGAATCTAGGGAATGATTGAGTCCCAGTGTAATGTTAGGATTAATGGTGCTGAGATTAACGGTGAGTGATTGCTGATTGGGTCCGCTGATTATATTGGGACCACCCTAATCTCTGTAAATTGGATACAACATAAGGAACAGAAAGAGGTTTTTCTCCCCCTTCCTTGGCTTACTTTTTCTGTCTTCTGACACTATGAACAGTTTCTCTTCTGAAATGCTCCTCTGCCATACACACCACTCTGCCTTGGAGCCAGCCAATTATGTACTAAAACCTCTAAACTGTGAGCTAAATAAACCCATCCTTCTTTAACTTCGGGTTTTGGGCATTTTGTCTCAGCAATGAGAAAAGTAACAAATACAGAAAGTCACTCTCTTCACCCCACTTGAACAACATGCATCTCTCTCATAGGTCACGTTGTACTGAAATGAACTGTTCCAACTATTTCCCCATCCATCCTATAAACTGTTGGAGAGTATGTATAGCATTTTATTCCTGAGGTCTTCTCATTTACTAGAATCTCTGATGGATACCTAGTAGTTGCTAAATGATTCTTCAACTGAGTAAAATGCGAAGAATGTATGCAAAGATATACGGGTTTAGCTTCCTGGTAAATAGAATTTTTCTACCAAGCAAGATGAATAACGACTAGAGATGAATCTACTAGAAGGAGATAATGCAGGAAACAAAGATATGTGCTCTATTGAATTTTCTAGGCTGTCACAAATGCCTTCAGTATGTGACTTGTGAACAAATAACTTTTGAGTACTGTATGGTCCCTGATTTGGACATGGCTGCAAGGCCTTACTGGGATTTCTCCCAAATTAAGGATTCCTTGTAGAATTTTCTGAGTATAAGTTAGCTTTTTAAAAATAATATGATAGCTTATAGTTACCTTAGCTGCATTAATTTGTGGCTTTTCTGCGTTCCCTAATTTGTCTTTCTGAAAATAAAGTTGCTCTGTTCTATTGTTGCATGAGTTTGAAGGGGTTCCAGCCCCTAGCTGGGACACTTTTTGTGTTGCTCTGGGCATAGGACCCATGGCCTTGTGCATGCTGGGCAAATACTCTGTCACTGAGTTACATCTCTAGCCCAGTAATGTCTGTACTACCGGGAAGAGCAGGAAATACAGAACAATCTTGCACATGTTCCAAAAGCTCATTCCTGAAAACCTTTCTTACAATATTGGACAGTTTGGTACTTCCAGAAATCCAGGACAGTCTAAAATTCTTAGGCATTATTGTAGATCTGAAAGACAGTTTACTCAGGCTCAGAGAGGTTTTAAGAATCTCATTTCTACCAAACCCTGGGAAATCAGAATCACCTACTTAGGCAGAAGTCAGAGACTCATCAGTGGATAAAAAATAATCACCCCTTCCCCACCCTGATATATTAAAAAACACAAATGCCTCCAATATGATCTAAATATCTTAAATCAGACTCTAGCACAAAAGAATCCTCTGACTCCATGATGAAGTGACTTGGAGGTGGCATATCTGTTTCCAACTCAGAGATTGTTAGAAGGTTTCTGAGGTAAAATGAGAACATATAAATAAAAAGAATCATAAGAAATTTATATTTTAAAGAACCCTGGCTTCTGTGATTGCAGCTAAGAATACATATTAAATACTATAAAAGTATTTTAGGCCAGAGATATAGCTCAGCAGCACAGCACCTGCTGGCAAGAGCAAAGTCCTCAGTTTGATTTCTAGTGCAAAAAATATTTAGAATATTTTCTTGAAAATGCTCTAGAATTTTTATTGTAGTACAACAAAATAGGTCATAAAGTAATTCTTGTGTTTTCATTTTCAGCATCTTCATGAGGAACAGTCCTTTAGTTGCCTCCTGAAAAAGGAAAACAACACAAAAATTTTAAAAGCAGTAATAACATATAGTGTGATTGAAGATATAAGCCAGTGATTTTAAATTTTTAAATCCTTCAATACTGTATGGCAAAAGTAATATTTAAAAGTTAGTATTTTAAAGTTTAGCAATTTAATTTTAGAATCAGTAATGCTTTTTTATATTTTATGGAAATGTGGAAAGCAAATTATGATTATATAAGATTCAGTGTATACTTTTCACACTTAGGCTTTGCCATGTTATTTCGTAGAGCTTTATAATTCTCTTAAATGTAAAACATTGTTAGGTTGGACTGCAAAGGCAAAAAGCAACCTGACATTTCAATGCAATGTAGTGTGGGAAAGAAGAAAGGAAGCATGTTTAAAAAAAAATGAAAAAAGAAAAACAGGATGTGAGTAGACCCCAGAAAGATTCTGCAAGAGGTAGATGTGATGAGAGGCAGAACATACCCCTGATGAACAGATTATGAGGAATGAATGGAGCAGAGAGACAGTTGTAATGGTTGATACATTGTGTTAACTTGAGAAGTTTAGAGGTTTGACTAAGCCACTCAGCAACAGACCAGCGTCTCACTTTGTAAACATCCAAGTCTTATGCAAGAGGAGGGCACAAAATGGTATGAGTGCTACACACACCCTCCTTACACTGTAAGGGAAGAAAAGAGGGCTTGTTTTCCCCTCTTGTTCTCTTGTTTTTTCTGTCTTTGGTCACCTTAGGCTGTTGCTCCTGTGCCGTGCCACCCTGCCTTGGAACCAGCTGATTATGGACTTAAAGCACCACAAAGTATGAGCTAAATAAATTTTTCACTCTTTAAATTTGGGTGTTGAGTATTTTGTCCTAGCAATGAAAGAGAAAAGTAACGACCACAGAATTTGGTACCAGGAGTGGGGTCATAGCTGGGACTATTACATGACCATATGGCTCAAGAGCCTTTGCGGATGGAAATGCAAAGTAGAGCTAGAATTTAAGCTGCACTGTATGGGAGATTCTGGTCAGAGCTCAGAAGACCACAAACCAGGTAAAGACCTGGCTCAGCAGGTTTATGCTGGAAACAAGGACTGTATTGATTCTAGACAAGGCTTGCTGTAACTTGGAAAAAACTTTGCCTGCATTTTGCTTATGTCCACAGACTTTCCCTGAGACTGAGATTAAGGATGCCAAACTAATCTGGCAGAAGAAATTTCAAGGCAGTTGAATGTTGAGGCTGTGACATGGCTACTATTGGGAACTTTTAACCAGATTTAAGTTAAGAATCAAAAACAGAGAGCCAAGGGCCAGCCAGATAGCTCTGTGGATTGAAGTACCTGCTTGGACAAACTCAGGGGCCGGGGATTAGATCCCCAGCCTGGTGTGCTTGCCCTGTCCCTGGGGCACGCTGACTGGGCATAGTGGCACACGCCTGTAATCCTAGCACTTGGGAGGCTAAAAAACAGGAAGGATTACTACAAGTCCCATCTGTGTAATGAGACCCTGTAGACCCTGTACTAAATCCAAATAAATAAATAAATAAATAAATAAATAGAGCCTAGAAGAATGATTTTAACATCTGACTTTGGCCATAAAGGAAGCTCCAATAAAGCTGTGGACTTAAAAGACAGAGCTGAGGAGATCTCAACTGCAGAAGAAGAACAGGAGCATACACCAGGTGACCTGAGGTCTGCTGAACAAGAAGCATCAAGTTTGCCTGGATGTAGATGGCACAGAGCACAAGTGATGCAGAGCCTGAAGGAAAGGAAGAAATGTGACAAGTGTCAACTGGAGGGATCTGAAGAGATGACATCATCATCAACTGAGATGAATGAAAGAAAAGAAACTCATGAAAGAGCACTTCCAAAACTGCTCCATAAAGTGACAAAATGATGCACTAACTATTCTAAGAGAGGGGAATGTATTTTGAGGGGGCTAAATAGTAATGGGTCTTTTCCTGTAATACATTTCTAAAGATTAAACATTTTCTGTATATTTTGATCATACAGCAATGTGTGCTGTAGGATTGTCCTGCGCCTGCTCTGGAGGCTGCGGTGCGAAGCATGGATGCTGCACACACACACTCCTTAGGAAGTACTAACAAGCACCAGAATATGTGGAGAGACGTGCATCACATGCAGAATGAATGTACTCACCCACATCGATGTTAAGAATAAAAGCTGCAGTCATGAATACTTCCAACATCAACATCCTTCCCATCAAACAGCTCGTTAGAACAGCCACTATCCAGCCAGAGGCCCCCACAGCTGACGCTTTGCCGTGGCTGCCACCGCTGCCACCGCCACTGCTGCTACTGCTGCCGCCGCCACCAGAAACAGACTGCACTGACACGCTGAAAGCTCTGGACTCTGCCTGAGCCACATTATCCAGGATAAATTCAAGCTTATAATTTTTACCTGGGAAGGGGAAAAAGGGAAGCATCACAGTGGCTGGCTTTCTTGGTTGCTTTCCAATAGTTCCAAGTTGGTTTTCAATGATTTAAACATAATGTCTAATTTACCAAAGAAGTACTTTTGGGAACTGAGTCAAATAGAAGTCAAATAGATTAGTTTGAGCACAAACAATGGTGGAGAGAAGGTCTGCAAACAGGAAAATGTCAATCCTCTCACTAATCACATGTTGGGGAACCCAGGTCGATTTTCCTATCTGCTACTTGAGAGTTCTTTCCTAGAGATGGAAGCAGGCTGTTTCAAATACAGGACAACAGGAAAGGCAGGTGAGAGAAAATAGAAGATCTGAATCTTTTTCCTGCCTACCTGATCTAAGTGTGAGGAGATACCCACCCCACTCAGAGGAGGGGAGAGTGGATACTAAATTTCGCATTTTATACAAATCTCGAATGCAGAAGAGTTGCAAAAATAGTGCAGTCAACACCCCTATGCCCTCTATTCAGATTAAATGACTTTTATCCACCTTCCACATGGTCTGGAAGATTTATTAGACAATTGAGAATATTCCTAACTTCCTATTCCATGTAGACAACTAGAAGAAACATCTTGGATAAACCTGTGCTCACAGCATGAAGAATAATGAGCTCATCCAGATAATTTCTAATCTGTATTCTGAATCTTCACACAGTATTGAATACGAAATGATTGGTGTATTTTTCCATGACGTAACCTCTTCTGGCACTACTGCTGTCATTAACTGTAGTTGCTCAGTAGAACAAGGCTTAGACTACCTGAACAACCTTATAAGTTCTTCTTCTTCTCTTTTGTTTGCAAAAATCATTTCTGCTTCATTCTTCCTTTTTGTTCAGGGAGAGAATGTAATTAGATCTTGACCACATTTGTGCATTTACCAACCATGACAATGCATTCTGTAACTTGCAGCTTCCAAGACATATACATTTTCAGCCACTACCAATTCTTTGAAATGCTATATTTAAATTTTTCCTTTCCTTCACTCTAAAAAAATCTAATAAATTTTAAAGTTTTGTGGGAGTTGCACTTCATTTTTAGCAGTTTGGATGAACAAAGAAATTAGGGTTTTTAAAAATTGATCTCATCTTTTCTCACTTGCAATACCACGGGGAAGCCCAAAGTAGCTCCATGGAAAAAAAAAACACTTAGAAGACAAATGAAGAATGCAGACAAACACTAGAGTTAGGACCTTGGCACGCAAGCTATTTCAGACATGGCCAGCCTGTAAATGCCTCAGCGGAAGCCCCAGAGACCAAGGAACGTATGTGACCCTTCCCTGCCCAATTTCCTGCCCCACACAATGTGAAGAAATGCAGTGGTAGTTATTTTAACCCACTGGATTTTAAACTAGCTTTAAATGTAGCAATAGAAACTGAAACAAACACTACACGTTACATAGGTTCCCAGAGAAGCAGGTCCAAAGTGCCCATCAGAGGGTTAGTGAAAACTGCAATCTCTTCACTTCCTTCTTCTACTCTTTCAGCAACCAATTCTCATTTTCCTGTTTTCTGTATCTCTCCCTACCCAAGTGGCCCTGTTTTGCTCCTTAGGGAGCTATTGGTAGGACAGACCCTGGCTGGTGCTGTGCTGCCAGGCTGTAGGCTCATCTGCAAGGAGATTTCTTGCAGAGATTGATGCAGAGGCTATGTATGAGACAGTCAAAAGCCTACTCCATTGCCTTGCACTCCAGGGATCTTGCTTACTTTGGAGTCTTGCTATGCAGAGGTAATATTCTGGGGACCTTGGTTTCAAGGTCTTTGCTGCAAGGTCCACTTTTATGTGGCGGTGAGCATCATCTTCAAGGAGTGTTCATGTCAGATCCCACAAAGCCCTTAAAAATGTTGTAGGCCTATTATTATGTGGGCTGCTGAGAGAACCAGCAAACATTAGCACACCTAGGGGTTGCTCAAGAGCGCAGTGGAACTTGTTGTCATTTGATTCTCAGCAAATAGTTTAGGGTACGCTGCCCCCTAGGCAGGTTGAAAACTAAGGGGAGTCAATCTTTTGCAATTAGTTTAACTTTCGACAGAATTGATGTAAAAGTCAGACTGTTGGAAATTTTTTTTCTTATTTGACTCTCTACAATGATTTTGTTTAACCAGACCTGCTGTATCTGTGAATGTATGGTGTGCATATGTGTATGTGTGTTCACATGCATGTGTTTGATGAGAGATCAGTTTTAAGAAGTGGGAAGTGCCATCATCATAGAACCTTCTGGAAGGTTAAGGTTGCTAATGGTCTTCCATGGGTCCCAAGGTGAACAGACAGATTAATGGAGACCTGTTTCAAATACATGCAGCTCATTCATCTCTTTAGATATTCTATTATTCGTCACCAGTAAAGTCTATCATTTGGTCCCTAGTAAAATGATTTGCACCAAAGGGGTAGAGCTAAGGCCCAGCAAGATAGTTCAGCAGACTAAGTGCCTGCTTAGGCAAGCACAGGGACAGGGGTTCGATCTCCAGCACCACATGCTGTGCTGGCCCTACCCTAGGGCATGCTGTGCTAGCTACAGAGACCTGGCATGTGGTGCAGGCATGTAATCCCAGCCCTGGGGAGGCTGAAAACAGGAGGATCACTATGAGTCCAAGCTGTTCAGTGAGATTCTGTACCAAATACTTAAAAAAAAGAAAGAGAAGAAATAAAAACCACAAACAGAAAAAAAAACAAAGGAGTAGTGCCACCAACCCATACAGAGGTAATATAAGAACAATCCTGTGGAGTTGGTGCTTGTAGTTACTGTAGTGACATTTGATACACTGCTTGGCCCAGGCTCACTGGATACACTTGAGGAGAGCTCGGGGGAGACATCTGCTCTCAGCGCACGTCACAGTTCTCCACAGCTGCTGCTCTGGGGAGCTGAGGGGCGCTATGAGTTTTCTCCCTGCCATTTGCTTTCTGAGAACTAGTCAGCTTTCTGCCTCAATGCCTGCATAGGGCATTAAAGTTAATGAGTCTACATGCCCTTTCCTTTCTCAAATTTTGAAATGCATGTCAACTTTTCTTACTAGAAATGTAGTACATATGTAACAAGGAAATTTAGAAAATGCACAAAGGGGTGAAAAAATATAAACCATATTTTATACATAACTTCATCTTATTTTTTGTTTGCTTGATTATTTTAATTGCTATTTCATTTTACACATTAAAGATATTTTGATAAATTACATTAAATATTTTTTTTCTTTGTATTTTAGGGAAGGGAGGGCTTACAAGGTGTTCAGGGTCTTACTATTATATTGGACTCTTAGTGATCCGCCTGTTTACAGCCTCCCTAGAGCTGGGATTACAGGCACGCGCCACCACGCCCAGTCTCAATTGCCATCTCAGCGTGCCCTAGGGGCCGGGCGGGCACAGCAGGCCCTGGGATCGAACCCCTGGCCCCTGAGCCGGCTTGCAGGTGCTTTAATCTGCTGAGCTACTTGGCTGGCCCACATTAAGTATTTTCTGAAATAAGGCAACGTATAATACCCTGATTTCTACAATTTTGTTTACTACCATATCATAGAATGTTTTGTTCATTAAGAGAAAATTGTATACTTAGAGAGAAAACATTTTCTCAGGCTTTCACAGAGAGCAAATTGGTCAAGCAATGACTGTGACTCATCCACATGGCTGACACTGACAAAAGGTCTACCAACTGCTGTACAAGGTTTCAGGGTAAATCTTGAGGGGATTTGACTGACTTTGTCAGATAAAAAAAAATTACATTTTTGTTATATAGGTCTTCCTTTATCTTGATCTTAACGATCCAGCAGAAAAGTATAAAAACAAGGTATAAAAAATAAAGCCATATTAATATGCTGAGCTGTAAAAGGCTCAAGTCAACAACTTCTGACATTGCCAGTTCCACAGATAACCCACTACTATTAAGGGCTACTGGACTATATTGGATTGTTTTGCTGAATTCACAAACCTATTTGAATGGCAATGCAATAACGCATCACTGACAAAACTAAACAAAACAAACAAAAAAGGGGGATATAAATGAAGGACCATGTTGTAGTGAAAAAAATATACATCTGTATATATAAAATATGATAGATATACAACTACTTTCTCTTAATTCAGTGAGAAGAAAGATTTGTACTAATGGCATTTAGACAAGATATCACGTCTGCATCTTGTACTAGGAATAATTACTATGAAGACAACAATTTGCAATGTATTAATTATTGTAACTATTCTACTAACCTGTTTTGAAACTGTCTCATTGCTATTTCTTTCTGAACAAAATTAATTAAAAATAAATTTAAAGAGAAAAAAAAAATATATATATGTATGTATTTCTAACACAGTCCACTTAGACTGTTTGAAGGAGGAAGGGGGTAGGGAGAAGAGGACAAGGGAGAGGGATATGATCAAAGAATAGTATGTGATTAAAATGCCACTATAAAAGCCCAGTAGGTAGGTCACTCACCTACTCTAAGAGGAGTAAGGTCTGTATAGTTGGCCCAACAACTGCTAAATGGAATTGTTACATTTCCACTGAGACCGCTGACTTGGTTATTGCTGGAGTCCTTTAGTATAGCCTTCAAGGTCAGTGAAGTAATCCCAACAGACACACAATTACCCTTAAGAAAAAAACATATAGCAAAGGATTATAACCATTGTCTTGTCCCATGCTCATCTGAAATAATATGCTGCTAAACCTTTATTTTTTGTGAATACTTCATGACAGATTTAAAATCTACAGAAGCTCCTTATGTCACTCAAAGCATTCACAAATAGGGTCACAAGAGCATCAAATTCATTATAAATGAGGACGGACAAAGAAATACAGAAGCATTTGCAACAGTAGAAGAGGATTCCCCAACTTCTAGGGGTGGTGTAATCCTCCATCTTGGGCCCAGTTGGCTCCCTTTTCAGAATTCATAGTTCAATTCCTTGCCTAGGGAGAATGGCGACTTGTGACTTACATCAGGATCCACTGCCTTGATTGAAGGCTGCTGAGAAAATGGCTGTCCCAGCTGTGCTGCCACTGGCTGGGTGACCACAGAGAGCGAGGACACTGGGGCCACATGGTGAACAGGAAACGCGGACCTGGTGACCGGCTGGGCAGCCACCTGACAGGGGCAGGAGGATGAAAGTAGTTTCTCGTGACAAACTGTGTCCCACAGCAATGCTCAGCCAGGCTGAGTAGAATGCAGTTATTGTTCAAAAATATATTCAACATTCAAATTAGGATCAGTACAATATTTCCTCTGAGTCACGCATAGGAAGCATTATGGTAGATATGCAAACCATGCAGAAATGAGTTTTTTTTAAAGTTTTTTCTTTTTAAAATCTAGCTTATTTTTAAAAACTACTTTGTTTTCATTTTAATGATTCCATAAGATTCAAAAAAATGAATTAGAAATAAATCAGTGTCTCTTCTTGCAAAAAAAAAAAAAAAAAAACAATTAGAAAGCCTTGCCCTCTAAATTACTGTGTTAATATAGAAAAAGAGAGTTAAAATAAGAAATAAACAAGATTAAGATTTAAATAGCTAAACTACATGTTTTTTAGTTGCATGTTCTTACCTTTATCCAGCCAGAATCATTCGGGCTGGGTATAGGGTTGGTAATAGACATGGAAGAAATATTAAATCCAAGGATACTACTGATTTTTCCCAAAATCACAGCTTGCCCAAGAGAACCAGAAATTTCCTGAAGTTCAGACAGTTTCATCCGACCTATGGGGAAACAGTAGTGTGATGTTTGGATTAAAAGAATATAGAATTGTGAGAACATGTAAGAATTTTTAATTTTAGTTTTATTTGCATTGTTCCATCCACTATAGAATTCTAAGGCTTTCCAATGGTGCCTAAGAAAAGTATAACAATCATATTAGTGAAGCAAAGAAAATAATTCAGTAGAATGTTTTAAGCTGGAATGAAAGGGGAACAAAAGGTAGATAAGATCAATACAAAAATAAAATAAAATGAAAGTACAGGAAGGAAATATATCTCAGTATTTTCCCATGTTACTCCTTCTCTAGCAGTGCTACTGTGAATTCCTGTCATCACATATTTAAAAATAGGATGCTAATTTTGGAACTAAAGAATAATCAGCATCCATTTCATTGTTCAGCTATATATGAATATGTTGCTAAAGTTATCAGCACATTGCTGAAAAACTTTTAGTTGCTTTGGACATTTGACAATTTTTAAGGTTCATTTTAACCCTACATGTAGTTTCTGTTCTCTTTTTCTAGCACAGCAGGCCACAACAGGGGTTTCCCCTTAACTGTACCGCTTAGTTCTCAGTAGCTCATGGAGTGGCAACTCCACCCACACAACTTACTCCTATGGCAGAGCCCCGCACTTGTGCTTCATCACCCCTCCTTCACTCTCCACTCCAGCTTATCTAATCAATTACCACCTTCTCTCTCTACCCCTCCGGTGTAGTGCTAGTCAATGCGATCCTTGGTTGTGTTACTACAACAGCTCACACTCGCTCTCTTATCCATTTTTGTCCCTTTCTGCTCCACCCCATAACCAGTAAGCAGTGGAGTCACTCAGAAAGCTGTTATCAGGGTACTGTTTGGATGCCTGCAGGCTTTACTTTGTCCTTGTTTCTAGTAACCCTGCATTGCCCATACCCAGAGTCATACATTGGGGACTCAAATTCTTGAGCTTCTTCCTACAAGGCTAAGTCAGGAAGCTTAATGTTTTCCAGAAGCAGTCAATGCCCTAAGCCACTGTATCTCACATGAAACTTTACAATCTACCATCAGGGAATTTTATTTTAAAATGTGTCTTTTGCATGATTCACCCTTTGGACAACTGGTCTCTTTTTGATTTCTCCCTCCCCCTCACTCCTTCTGGGTCAGTCCCTCTCCCAATGAGGGTGTATGGGATCTAGTCACAGTGGTACAAAGAGAGCCCTGTGGATGCTCCACCAGTCCTGCCTCGCCTTCGCGGGGCTTTGGTACAGTGGCAGGGGTGCCCTGGTCTGAACTGCTAACAGCTTTCCTCTGACCGTGTGCAATGGGAAGGCGCTCCTTAGGCTGACCACCATCTGGAAATCAGAGGTTTTTTACCTGAGGTTCTCTTACTCCTCGATGCCAAGACTCTACCTGCCCAGAGATTCCTTAGTCTTCAACAATCACACCCCAGGACACCTGGAAACTTCCATGAATTTGTCCCTTCTTGTCTCTATGATTTGCTTTCCTAAGCTATCTCATACATATCTGGATAAATTTAACAAGCTAAAATTGTGTTAAGGACACGGGCAGCAGAGGTTGTATGTGAGAACATTAAGGGCACACACAGGAAATGATTTCTTGGGGGATTCAGCAGCTAGTATGGAAGCTTTGGCCCTCACTATCTACAAGAGGATATAAGGGATTTCTAAGAGCTGACGGATAATCTACATGTGCACTACAGCCCACTGTGACAAACAGATTGAATTCACAGGCTAAGCCTGCCAAGTCCAAAGTGCTGATCCTCTAGCTCCAAGGAAATACAGGGCCAAGAAGGAAAGTCAACGATGTAACCAGAGAGGGGTCCGATTGCGACAAAAATCCTATTTCCTGTCTCTCTCTCAATCAAGACAGATTTGCGGCCAGACTGCTTGCCTCTTCACGATGTCAGACTCCTTTCAACCCTAGTCACTCAGCTATGAAGTTACTTCCTTAGATAGATCTTCCTAGATCTTCTACATTAGGCCAAATTTTGTTTAATTTACTAATCATTATAACAAAAAAAATGGGGGCTTAAATTTCTTCACAATTCAAAATAGGATAAAGGTCTCGAGGCCTTTAGAAGTTTCAGGTTATGAGCTGGTAAGATTCCCTGAGGCCTTGAACTAAAATGAGAAATTTCACTGGGCCCAGCAAGTCCTCTTCCAGGTACCATCCCCTAAAGGTTAAAGACATCCTATCACAATGACAAATGTATCCCCATGTGTATAGCAGCATAACTCATAATAACTGAAGCTTGAAAGCAGTCTGTATAGCCATCAACAGATGAATGGATAAAAAAAATTGGTCTTTGTACACAGTGGAGTATTAATTTGCAGTTAAGGAAGAAACATTTGAATCATTTGTTGGAAAGTGAGTGTACTTTAAGACCAAAAAATTAAATGCAAAAATCATATCTTCAGACACCCAAGCTTATATATCTCATAACTTCTCTTTTATGACAAACCCAGAGTATAAACACCTTTTAGAAAATAATAAAAGATAGACAATAAGAAACAGGGAGATAGATGTTTTGTAGATGGGAAGTACATTCAGAGAGAGAGGGAGGACAGAAAGATGGGAGGTGAATAGAGATTAAAAAGAAAATTTAAACATACACACCTACCTCCAAAGATGAATGCAAACATTCTATATGGCAAATATGTACTAATAAAAAATGTAAAGTTATTTATGGCTCTGGACTTAGTCATTACATTCCTCAATCTCTAAGGCAACCCTTCATACCTGTGGTGTCATTGCTTAAGGACCGAGCAGGAGGGTCTCCGATCTCTAATTCAACTGAGTTTCCTGGAGACCTTTTCCTCCGCAGGCTCCTTCCTCGTGTTATTTTGCTGACTCGGATTTTGTCGCTTGGTATCTTTAGGAATAAGGCGAGGTTTCTAACAAGATTATGTGAGCTGTAAAAGTCATCTTCTGTTACCGCAGGTAATTGGAAAGAAACAAATATGACTGCGGCCGTGTGGATTTCAACAGGTGTTGTTCCCCTAACCAAAAGGTAGAGCATCTGGTAGGTTCTGTCAAAGTAGTTTTCACCAAGAATAGTGGAATTCAGTTTAGGAAGAAATTGCTCTATGAAGAAAAAAGTACCAAAACCACAATATTAAATATTATCACAATTACAATGCATGTTTTAATATTTGTTTCAATTTAGAAAATTCAAAAAATTCAATGTTATCATTCCATTAGGAAGTATAAATACTATAAACAAGAACTTTAGAACTGATGTACAAAACTGAAGTCAATCCTTTACAATTCATCATCATTTATAAATTAAATTTCTTTTTAAATCAGCTATAAACTCAGTATAAATAAAGGCAAATCTTATTATAAACCTAGGAATTTATACTATTTTTATAACACTATTTACATCTTCAGAATTTTAAAGCCTCAACTGAAGCACTTACAATTTTAGAAATACAAGTTTAGGGCCAACAAGAGAGCCCAGCAGACTAAGCACTTGCTTAGGCAAACACAGCGGCCAGGGTTTGATCCCTGGCACCTAATGCCATGCTGGTGCCACCATCTCCCCACCCCCGTGTGCTGAGCTGACCACTGAGACCAGGCATGGTGGCACATTCCTGTAATCACAGCACTGAGCAGGCTGAAAACAGGAGGATCATTATGAGTCTAGGTGGAATCCAAGCTGCGTGGTGAGACCCTGTACAAAATACATTTTAAAAAAATCTGCTAAGGATTAAGTGTTTCTATTTTAACTAAAGAGAGGTACATAATAAAAATAAGCATATAATAAAATATCTCAGAGGAATCTTAAGCCTGAAAAATACTATGATTAATCTGTGATTAATTCAGTTCCCAATTAAACTTTTATAATTTCCAATTAACTTTAAACAATTAAAGTTTTGTCAAATTGATTGAGATTATTTGGATACATGTACATAATTCATAACATACATGTCCAAATAATGTACATGTATGTTATGAATTATGGCAACATATTAGCAATGTTTAAGAGGAAAAAAGTCCATCAACACATTGAACCTGAGGCTGAATTTATAACCCTTGTGACATTTCATGGTGAAATTTACTAAGAAAAGGAATTTATGATTTTAGAAAGGGAGAATTTCTTATGAATGTAACAGATAACAGCTTTCAGAAGCCATTTCATTATCACTAGAGATTTCCCTACTATGTACTGATACAAAAGCCAGACATAATTTGGCTTAAACATTATGTGAAGCTGACAAATGTGTGGTATAATATTCTTGATAACTTTATCACATTATCACAACAATGAAGGAAGTGGAAATATACATAATAGAACACAAATACAGAGAAATTCATAATATGGGGCTAATAATGTGCATTCCAAGTGCCCAAGCAAAAGTTTCACTTAAAAGCATTGCCGCTGGGCTGGGACATGGTTCAAAGGTAGCATATTTACCTGAGGCCCTGAGCTCAATTTCCAAACTTTAATGTCCTCTATGGGAACTGAATTAACCATAGATTAATCATAGTATTTTTTAGGCTTAAGATTCCCCTGAGATATTTTATTATATGCTTTATTTTTATTACATACCTGTCTTTAATTGAAATAGAAACACTAATCCTTAGCAGATTTTTTAAAATGTATTTTGTGGTAGGGGGGATACAATGCTCTTTCATTAAAAGAAAAATAACTGCAGAAATAACAACACATCCCTGCCTTTATCTGTAAGAGGGCAGTGATGGTGTTGCATTTCAACCTCTCAGCAGCTGCATTAAAAATTCTCCGTATTAATTTCTGCCTATTGAGCTGGATTCTACTTTCCAACTTTTGAATGAGAGTCCTCAGTACCTTGTGAGTTGTTTCAAGAGTAGAGAGTTTATGAAAACTAAGCTGTAAATACGTGCAACCATCTGATTGCAGAAAGTGACAAGTGCGACTCTCTTAGCCTGGTAAGAGTCAGTACAGTGCGATAGTCGTGTGTGCGGTTTCAGAGCGAGGCTGTTTTGAAGTCCTCGCCCTGCCTGGAGCAGCTTTCAGGCCACTATGGCCTGAGCTGCGCCCCCTCCAAAGTCCAGTGCTGCGGTCCTCACGCCCCCCATGATGATGTTCAGGAATGGAGTCCTCTGGGAAGAAATTAGGGTTGGATCAGACTGTGCGGGTGGAGACGTCATGATGGAACTCATGCCCCTGAAAGAGACCCTGACTTCCTCCACGATCTGAGAACACAGCGAGGACACGGCTCTGGCCAAGCAGAGAGGCCCCATCAGAACCCGACCACACTGGCACTGCGGTTTCTGGCCCTGGCTTTAGACCTGTGAGAAGGACCTTTCTGTGGCTTAAGTCTGTGGTATTTTGTTCCAGCAGCCTGGGCGGACTGAGAGCTGAACAGATTACTTCACCATCTCTGGCTCGCTTTGCTCACCCACACCTACCTTCTAAGGTTATTACGGCACAGTAACAAAGCAGTGCCTGAGGTATAGTAATGTGTCCAGAAATATTCACTAGTCATACCAACAGTAAAAATAAGACTTGCTTTATACATGGCGAAGATTATCGGTCACCCATACATGTTCACAACCCTGACATGCTAAGGCTATGGTTAGCCACAGTTATGGAGCATGTCTTCAAATGAAAGGTAGCACACATGGAATGAAATGCCCAATGTCAGTATCATTAGAATCCTGTTCAACAAATAATTTAAATGAGCAGAGACAAATCCTGATCTTACAGGATATTTTGTTAGGATAAGTACCTTCTTCCATTTATTTCATTTAAATCAACTTTAATTTCTCATATTTACTTCATAGTATTTGTCTTACTTTTTGTTGGCTTGCTTGGCATTACTTTTGGCACCTACCAAGTCATTTGGGCTCTGATATGCATGAAGTAACAGTAAAGAAGAGATAGAGTATAACCTCTGAGCAAGATCTCTTTTAGACGTAGGAATAATTAAATTTAAGCTTACTAAATTAAAGGATTCTTAGAGAGAAAAATGTGTCCATCATGAATTCAATGATTGTCTATCTTTGCAGATAGAGAAGAGTTCCACTCACCACAAGAGATCTTCAAGGACAACATCATAAATGAATATACTCTAGTGTCTTCTGGACAGTGACTAAACACTTAATTTCTCATGTATTCATAAATGGCTCAGGAATTTAAAATATTCACAAAACATTACAAAGGATTTTATGAATAATGAAAGTACTTGTGCCATGTGTTCCATACTTTCCTGAGGAAATACCTGCATACAGATGCCTGTTAAGTTTGCAATGTTTCTGTTGAGCGTTCCATACTGTATTTTTGGGACACACCAATGAATTGTTCACATAGACATCCAAACGCTGAAGAGTAGAATAAAAAATTCCAACTAGAACACCCTGTTAAAATAGTGAAACATTTTTGTGTTTTAAGAGAGTGATAAAACAGAATATGAGAATATGTAGAATTTAGCATTTTAAAATGTTTTTCAACTGTGTACACCTGTACAAATGTTAAAACTCAGTCTTATGGATTTAAGACAAACACTGAACTAAAATTTAAAATGGGCTCACATCCAGCCATTAATGAAGGCTTTACACCTTCACCCTTCATTGATGGTTCTCTGAACAAGATAGTAACAAAAGAAATAAATTCTTAGAAGAATGCCTCTAAATCAAGAAATGTGTCCTTTTCAAAGACACTGAAGTACAATATAGGCTTTCAGTTACCGACACATGGGAGGGACTTAGCACAAGTCCTGTATCTGTATCACACTCCACTCTGTAGAAATAGGTACTTAAGCCTAAAGGAAAAGTACTTAATGCTGAGAAAAATTTGGTAATAAGACTACTAAACTTAGTAAGAATAACTGTACTCTGTCATCCAAATTTGTTCATTTTTCACGTTTATATTCCCTACACAGAATACTATCAGACAGGACATAAAGTAAAGTGGTTTTGGTGAAGAGTTAGCAAGGAGCCCTGGTGGCATGACTAGATAGTGAGAGGTACTTATACAGAAGGATTAACAAGAAGCCAAATAGATTACATCAATCTGGAAGCTTATTGATATAGTCTTCAGAAGCTCAGAGTGCTAATAGGCATATTACTTTGTAATCAACATTCTTATTTTTTAAATTAATATACTCTCCTTAGATTTTTTCTTTTATACCATCAAGGGCAAGTTCTTAGCCCAGCCTCATACTATTGCAGATGCTGGCAAAACCACCGTGTTTCTTAGGCTTACGTTCTAGAGGGAGGTGAGAGACAACAAATAATAAAAATGATCAGCAGTAAAGTCTGAAGCACATTGGAATGTGGTAAGTGCTATAGAACAAAAGAAAAAGCAAATCAGGGTGTGAGAAATTGGAAAGCCAAATGGTGGGGATGGCCAAGGTTGGCCGTTGGCCGAGATGGGCTATTTAGCTACCTAGATAACAACATTACACGCCAATGCAGCATCTGAAACAAGGTCGTGATGTGTGGGGTACTGAGAAACAGCAAGAAGCCAATGTGGCTGGAGAAACACAGGAGAGAAAAACCTTTATTCTGAGCTGCACTCCTAACCCTTTTTTTAAATATTAAATTTATTGAGAAAGAAGTAGCAATGAGACAGTTTCAAAACAGGTTAGTAGGACAATTACAATAATTAATACATTCCATATTGTTATCTTAGTAATAGCTATTCATAGTACAAGATACAGACATGATATATTATCTGAACACTATTAATTCAAACTTTCTTCTCATTGAGCTAAGAGAAAGTACCTGTATAACTATGCTAACTATTATATATATATAACATATGTATAATATATATAATATATGTATGTATGTATTTCTCACTACAAAACGGTCCTTCATTTATAACCTCCTTTTTTGTTTACTTTTGTCAGAGAAGGGTATTCCATTGCCATTTAAATATTGTAGGTGCATGAATTCAGCAAAATAATCCAATATGGTCCAGTAGTCCATAATAGTAGTGGGTTATCTGTAGGACTGGCAATGTCAGAAGTTGTTGATTTGAGCCTTTTACAGCTCAGCATATTAATATGGCTTTACTACTTATACCTCATTTTTATACATTTCTGCTGGATGGTTAAAACCAAGATAAAGCAAGACCTGTATAACAAAAAATGTAACAAAGATGTGGTATTTTTATACAATGGAGTATTACTCAGCTATAAAGAATGATGAACTCAAAGCTTTCATATATAAGTGGATGCCACTTGAAGATATACTCATAAGTGAAATAAACCAGACTCACATGTGTAAATATCATATAGTCTCCTTAGTGTAAGAACTCAAAAGAAGAAATAAAAATTGAAAAGTATAATACAACTAAATGGACAGTGAGAACTTAAGGATTAAATAATGAAGAGAGCGCAAGGAGAAAAGCTAGGAAACATGGCAGGGGCAAGACCATACATCTATATGCACAAGATGGTTAAGCCAAGGATCCTGAGAATCTCCATTAGGTTTTTGAAACTAGCAGTTAATTGGCAGGATTCTTACCCTGACTAACTATATATGCTGATACCTGTGAACTAAGCAACTTCACTGAAGATAGCAGTGTGCAATACTAGGGCCATGCTTGGAATGCCTGTCATTCTGGTCTTCTAAAAGCACACTGCTTCTAATGTCATATCAATTACTCCTAACCCTTTTTTCTTTCTACTTTTTTATTTTGAGACAGACTCTTTATAAGTCACTAAATTTCTGGGTGGGCTCACATTTGTGAACCTTCGGCCTCAGCCTCTCCAGAGTCCTGGGATTACAGGCAGGCACCACCCTACCTGCCTTTTTGGTCTCTGACTTTAGTTCAGCCAATAGTATGGAAACTGCTTCAGGCTTTGGGTAGAGGAGAGACCTGCTTGGATGTCTGACTGAAGGAGAGAATCAATGTACTGTAGGTATCTGGCTATTGGGGTGAGAAAAACCATAGACTAGCAAAAGTAGAGAGGATGAGGAGGAGCTGACAGGTGACCACCTTGATCCAGAAAAGAGACAAGGTTGGCATCATGGGATGGCAGCAATGGAGAAAGTGGGAAGTGACCAGATTCCATGTATTCTGAAGGGAAACAATAGGATTCGTGAGAGAACTGGATGAAGAACGTGAGACCTCAAGGGGCGTTTTTAGGTTTTATTTTGAGCAACTTGAATTCATCCTTTCCTGACTAACATCGTTTCAAGTTTCTGTCCTGGTTTCATCTTTTCAAGTTTCTGTCCTCATATTCTTAACACACTGGGCCTTTAAAATTCCACAGTCATAGAAAAGAAGATACAAATTATAGGACTTGGCATAGCACATAAACTTAATCATGCCAAGTGAGTTCAGTTATAGTGAAGGCTTATGTTGTCAAAATATTTCAAATAATATGCTGCAATCTCAGAGCTAAAGTCCAAATGTATATTTCTGACATATATTCAGAATAGCTTCATGGAAGAATAAATATGTATTCTAAGTGATCAGTGTAATGATATGCACGGTATTTTTATGCAAAAAATCAGAGTTTAGCTAATCATACAAACCTTAGGCGTCACTCCCATGCCTCATACGTGCAACCCACGAATCAGGTGCACGTTGGCAGAGGGGTGTGTGGTACCTGCATGTACTTTCTGACTGAGAAAAACTGTCTAGGCTAAGAGTATTTTTACTAATATCTTAATGAGTCCTTCAAACTTGAGCAGGGCTGATAATATTAGAACAGAAGACAAGATATAATCCTTAGCAGATAGAAACACGCAAATAGATCAACTACAATAACTCTTAAGACAAAATTTTTATCTTGCTTTACCTTGCTATGGTCAACATTAAGCAACATTAGCCGAAGATTCTGAGGACTGGTGCCAGTGAAATAAACCTCGTAAGATTTGTTCAGAGCCACGATGCTATGGAACAGGGACAGTCTTCTCTGGCACGTGTATCCTGCACACCAGCCATGATCCTGGGGGCCTAAATTCATGAAAAATGAAAGTTCATGTTCTTTTACATCGAGTATTATAAGCATAAAGTGTGGGGAATAACTATATTAAAAATAAACTGCAGTAGTTGAGTTCAAATGCAAGTTCAGCACTCATACCCATTAACTGTCCTACTATCTAGTCTAGCCAGCCAGGCTTTTCCCCACCTCTTGGCTGCAAAAGGAGGGCATGGAAGCACCTCATTCCTATAACTATAACTCGAAAGGCAATATTCAAAACTGGGCTGAATGCAGGCCATAGAAACCAAGTGGATTGAATGTTCTGGTGGCAAAAGTGAAGAGAAGCTTAAAATCACGAAACTTTGGGATGTTTGGATTTAGTTAAGCTTACTCTCTTTAACAAACTTTTAATGAGTATTCCTCTGTGGGGTTTTAGCAATCTTGTTGTATGTTAGATAGCCTGATATGTTAATATACTGTGAGGGAAAGAAATCTCTTTCATCCAGGCTGTGTGTCCCTTCCGTGCTGAGCCTGCTTAACAACTAATCTTTGAGCTCCAGTATCATTTCAGGGTTACACAATAAGTGCCCTTGCTGTGCTCTCAGTACCTTTAGAAGTTTATTTTATTTTTCATTCAAACAGTCTTTCTTGGTTTCCTAAGGTGATGTGCACCCTTATAGAGACAGTAATGTAAGAAACTTAGATTTTTTTTGGACCTTTATAGGCTGGCCTTGAAAGTCAAAGGAATCAGATATGAAAGATGCAACAAAGGTTATAAATCTTCCAAAGATTTGTGAAAATGAAAAATTAGGTTGAGAATACCTCTTCTCAAATACTCAATACTTTATTACATTATTAGTTTTTAAATTTATGTAGGGAAGATTAGGCTTTCAAAGATATGTAAGTCAATTTGCCTTTAAATTTTCTCCCCTTCTTTCTTCAAATGGTCAGTTTGAAATAACTGCCCTGGCTTTCCTCGATGGGGAGCCTCCAGAGTCAACTCTCACTCCTGCACATAGATTTTTTTTTCTTGCAAATAGAGTGGCAAGCAGTCCTGGTGTTTGGTAGTTTTATATGACAATAAGAGGCTTCCATGCATTCAATAAATGCTTTAAGTCACTCTGGTCCACTTATTCCAAACACCTACCATTAATGAGATCAACATAACCGTTGCTCACTATAGCCACTGGCGACAGCCGTCGTGTTTCTGTGTCCGAATCCAGGCTTTCAATAACCATCATTGCATATTCCATCCCAAAGCACTGATAGCTCTGCCAGTCTGGAATGTATTTACAGGTTGCATCTCTAATAATTCCTAGAAATACATGAATATATATGCTAGTAAGGAGAATCTCTTCACAAAACATCCACACACTACCCTTTTCTTACATAAGATTAACAAGTAGAACATCTAAGTTATGAGCTGAGTACATTAGTTATTAAAAATGAAACATTTTTGTTTCATGAACTTGAGATCTAACAATACAATGAGATCCAACAAACCTTTATAAGGTGCTTTCTCAGTGACAGGAATTCTACTTCCGTTCAAGAATGTGAGCATCACCTTAGGAATTCTGTAGTCTCCGATTCCTAGTTGGCTGTTTCCATTCCATTCATACTCTGCCTGAGGTATCACGGAGCCAGAACGCCCCAGAAAGGAGCCATCCATATCTTTAAGAAAAGACTTCCTTTTGGCGTCACAAACCATGTCTACACAATCAGATGGATTCACTTTACTTGGGAGAAAAGACAAAATGAATAATTTAGCTCATTTTTCTAAAAGCTTTATACAAACACAGTTCAGTATGTGAGCAGACCTCAAAAAATAGATGGACTCTTATTTCAGAAAAGATTTAAAGTGGGACCAAATACTCTGGTTTCTCTTCAGATCATATAAATCTTTTGCCTTTTACTAACGTGGGACCAAGTGGCATCAGTAAACAGCGTTGTAATGAAGTCTGCATTTCCATAGTGATGATTTGCGCTGTTATGAATTTATTAACATTTCAAAATGACAAGTTGTACCTGTGGGATATAAAATTGCATTTTGCTATTCTGGAATGATACATTGCTTGTTTGTGCATTATTCACAATACACTAACATTTTCCTGCACAACTGGTGGAAGATTCTCTTTCATACAGGATATACAAAATCACTATGTTTACCAGAAAGCCTTTATTATTTTTTCTCTTCCTCATTTTGAAAGTTTATAGCTATTTTTTACTGTACAATAATATAAATATTTAATACAGGCTCAGTTTCTCTCTCCTTTCTATCTTGAGCTGTTAGGCCCTTAGCCAATGGCAGAATGCTTTGTATTCTTGTAGATGTTTGTCTGTGTATGGACAGCAGTACTTAGGTTGTGATTCTTCCGTTACATATTAGTAATCTCTCTGATGATAAGAAATTAAACACTGTAAATTTGTCACTCAGTTCAATCATAAATGGTATTCTAGCTTCCTCTTGATTTACCTGCAGTGCTCATTGATTATTCCCTGATATAATAATAAAATATCTTCTGAAGATGTAATGTACTACACATTCAAATGACATACAGCATAATTACAAAATGCTATGATACATAGTGTGAGGAAAAATATCCCAGAATCGTAGCAATAAATCTAAGTGGATGACGCAGGTACCATGGCATATATCTTTCCATTTTTGTTTTGTTTAAGATAAATATACAGCTATATTATCCCTGCCTATAATGTACTAGTTAGGGGGAAGAATTTTAATAAATATTTATTTACACTGGGGATGTAGCTCAGTGGCAGAGCATGTTGTTAGTACGTGCAAGATCCTGGGCTCAATTCCCAGTAGTAATACATACAGATATACATACGTACATACATACATACATACATACATACATGCGTGCATGCATAGATACATGCATACATCCTGCAGTTCATGTCTCCTCTGTAATTAAGTATGTGCAACATGTTTTGTAAACAAGTTTGTGAGGAGCGTGCTCAGTGGCATTCCCACATGGCTGTGGTAAGACAACAAGCAGTCTAAATTCAACTTCCCAAGAAGCAGAGCTTGAGAAGTAGATTTTTATGTAAGTGGGTCAGGGAAGGAATCTTCCTAAAAAGGAGAGAGAGAAGTTGCACAAAGCATGGGGAAGAAAACGAGACTACAGTCTCTAGACAGCGTCATCCTGATCCCTTGGTTATCGCTGCAACATAAATTACAGGTGTTGCTAGCTCAGGACAAAGACCCCAGGCCTGTGCGCTTGAATCTGATAGGCACTATCTCTGCAACACAGGGATCGTGGGTGCTGGGAAGGCTTTGGGTGACAGCACACTCTTAAAAAGGGGACAACCAAATGCTATCATGGGCCAACATTTAGAGCATTTTGGGTCTACTAGTAAAGACCTGGGAGAGCACCAACAGCATCCACTAGAAGCACAGAACTCAATGAAAGTATACTTGGAAGGGCAGCAATCTCTTCCAGTTATAACTATGTATTACATTTGGAAGAATCAATGATGAGTAACAGACGGCTATAACTGCCTAGTGAGTAGGGTCCCAATTGAACCAAAAAACACTGCAGTTCAATAATGATTAAATAAGTAAGCACTGAGCTGTCAGCAAAATAAAATCAGATTAAGCCAAACTATTCATCAAACATTTTATTTCCCTGAAAGATGCCTATTTGATTATACAATATTATTCCTTCTCTTTGCTTCTAAACTGAAAATAACCACAGATCTCTGATAAAATTTTTCTTTCTTCCAATGTTGCCTTGCATATAAAATTCTTGTTCTGTACTGCCTATAAAAAAGTAGGAGTTATTCACTACATTCTTTTATGACCTAGTATTTAAGCAAAATATCTTGACAACAATTAACCTTTAGTAATCACAAAAATTACTGTTTTCAATTTCTGCAGATTTACAATCACAAGGGTTATAAGGGCTGATTAATTCTTAACCACATTTTGGAGTGCTAGTGATAAAACATTTGGAAAGCAAAGGATTGAAAAATAAGAAAAAGTATAGAAATGATAAAGAAATCTGTTTCAATTCATGACTTTTAATGGAGACATACTAATGTGAGACATGCACCAGATCCTTATATATTTTATGTTTAATGATATTATTGATAGTATATGAGAAACTGAAAATATACACATTAAATTCAAGTTTTTACAAATCAGCTGAGAAAACAGATTTATATTATTAAAAGTCTTAATTTTTATAATGCTTGTTAAAACTTTATAGAAATTAGTTACTTTAATATAGTAACACTTTAGACCAATAATCAGAGAATGGAGAATGGAGAACTATAGATGACAAAGAAAAAATTGAATTTTAATATATTTTACCTTATATCAGGCCTATGTATATATATTTTAGATGATTCAGTAGTGTCGACCAGTTGTATATTCCTCACATAGATTGGATGCTGTAAATCTTCATTTAAAGGGTTAGTGATGAATATCACATTAGTCTCCCCTGAACAAACATTCTTGAATCCAACAAATGTTGTATCTAAAGTATTAAAGAGAAGTAGTTATTTTCTCTGGAGAAAGTGGAATTTCACAGCACACATTCTATTGGCTTAAGCTTCTTCAGTTGTAAAAGATCATAATCTATAATCCTACTTACATGAATGAATTTTAATAAAGCATAAAATTAATATTAAATCAGTATAACAGTGGTTTTTTTCTGCTGTTCTGAAAGAAAAATTAAATGTCATTTTTCAATATGTAAAACTTTTGTGAGGGAACCAGTCTAGAGGTGGACTCTGATATCTGATTTCTTTTCCTGTCATATTGAGCACATTCATATGTAAATTCATTTAAGTATTTTCTTCTTGATGATGAAACATTAATTATACCATAGCTTACATAGTTCTTAGAGAGTATAACTGAGCAGATTTGTGAAAGACAGCGTTTAAACTTGCCTGAGACGTCCAGGCTGCCGCTGATAGCATTGTAACTCATGATCCCTGCGTGGGGTTTCCGGGGCGCCATGTTGTGAGCTGAAGCAAAGGTAGGCCAGCAAATCCCACTTCTTCCGCCTTTCTCCCCACCCAACAAAAGAAGCAGAAGAAGAAAGTTAGCAGAAATTGAGTATGCATGTCAAGACCAAAGATACAATTGCAAAATTTCACCTGCTGGAGGTCTAACGCTGCGATGAGCACCAGTGAGCTCGACATTGGGATCATCTTCACTGAGGACATCAGAACAGTTAAATTCAGGGCTGCTCCCAATAATTAATGAGCTCTGTTTAAAAAATGTCAAGCAATACAGTGTGAATAGTAACTCTTCCAAAAAAAATAAGAGTGAATGATTGACACAATTCTATAGTAGTAAAGTGCAAGCTATCCATTTGAGAAGCGGATCATTCATTAAGTAAAAATAATAATGTATGCTATTGTCTTCACTATAATAACATTGAGAGTGATGGAGAGAAGACAGGCATGCAAATCCTTCTTAGGGGACTGGGGAGATAGCTCAGCAATATAAGTGCTTGCCTGGCAAGTGCAAGGTCCTGAGTTCAATCTCCAGTACCAAAACAAACAAACAAACGAACAACACACCTATTATGTTCCTGTGATAGAAATGTGTCCAGAGAATAGTGAGAACAAAAAGTGGAGAGAGCGCCAGTGAAAGAGGGCTAGCAAGACAGCTCAGCAGACTAAGAGCCTGCTTAGGCAAGCACAGGGACTTGGGTTCAATCCCCAGGACCACATGCTGTGCCAGCCCCACCCCCAGGCACACCGAGCAGGCCACTGAGACCAAGATTGGTGGTGCACACATGTAATCCCAGCACTGGGAAGCTGACACAGGAGGATCACTATGAGTCTGAGCTGCATAGTGAGATCTTGCACAAAATACAAAATACAAAAAAAAAAAAAAAAAAAAAAAAAAAGTGGAGGGAATGCCCTTGTTGCCTGTGCTGTTCCAAGAAAGTCTTCAAGGAAGGAAAGAGGATCTAACAGTGTTGCAAGTACAGTGGGTGATAAGCAGGAAGAGGTGAGGGAATTGGAGGAGAGAAGGGGATAAAGAGGTTCGTGGCATACAGTACAGTCGCAAAGGCATGGAGTCCTGACCTAGAGAGAGAGAAGACAAGATTATTTTGTCTTTCAACAACTTCTCCCTTCTCAGAGTTGCTCTTTGACTTTGTTTCTTACCTCCACCTTCACTGTCTTACTGGAAATTTTGTGAGACACAGCAGCTGGCATGTAAATCATTGAAAAAATGGCCATTCCATTGTCCACTAAGGTCACATTGTAGATGTGCACACGCTCTGAGATCTGTATTAAAAATAGGAGGTTGAATAGTACTAGGGAAAATCATGAAATAAGATAAACACCACTTTTAACCAGATTCACCTGAAAATAAATTCCATAATCCCAGCACGTCCAAATGGTAAAGCCCTGAATAAGGGAACATCCAGGAAGACCATCTTGGTTCATATAGATGCCATACAAACCCCCATGCGCTTCATTGTCAAACCAGCTTTCTACAGGGTTAGCTTGACCTTAGAAGAAGAAGACAATACACAACCAGAGAATTAATATTCCAAAGCAAGTCAGACATTTTAATAAGCAGTATCAGTTAAAATTAGCACATATAACAAACAAGCCTAAATGTGAAATCAATGGTAACACTTGCTGTCTCTAAAAAGCTTCCCCTGTCCACCTTTTGGCTGCTGGCTCTATCTTATTTATTTTTATTTTTTTAATAATTTTATTGAGAAACAAACAGCAATGAGACAGTTTCAAAATTGATTACTAGCACAGTTTCAATAATTAATACATTGCATATTGTTGTCTTAGTGGTTGTTCATTGTACAAGATGCAGACATGATATCCTGTCCACAAACACTATTAGAACAAATCTCTCTATTCATTGAACTAAGAGAATGTGGCTGTATACCTATCCTATTTTGAATATACAGATACAAAATGGTCATTCATTTGTATCCCCCTTTTTTTGTTTAGTTTTGTCAGAGAAAGGTATTCCATTGTCATTTAAATATTGTACAT